CACGTATCGTGCACCACATGAGCACGAGTACCGATAAACAAGCATAGAACGAGTCAACGGAGACAGTCCATCCTTCAAGGGTTTGGCAAGCAATGTAAGAAAATAAATCAGGCGGCTTTTTAGGTACACTTTGAAAGCATAATGGCCCAGACTCGAGATCTGTTTCCAACAGCATCTAACAACGTTGAAAACCTAGCCTAGTGAATAGTTGTCCCAAGTATGTTAGGGTCAAACCATCCAGTAGCGGTATTATTAGAAGGGAGCAGTTGCAGTCATTTAAGGTGCTAGGACCGAGCCTAGAATTAATAATCTCTAAGACGCATAACGGTTCCGGCATCGTGTAACTGGACAGAACTGGTTGTATCTGTAAGTTGCAACACATCCTTAGTGATGAGCGTAAGTTCCAGAAGTCCATAACAAGAAAAGACGACACAGTAGAGTTAGAGAAGCAGCTGATTGACTGCGTCAGGCGAATGATTCAGGCAAAACTTATCACGAAATAGGAATTCGAAAAGCTGAAACCTATAGGTGAACACCTTCCGAGCTTAGATAGTGTCACGGAGGCGAAACAGCTAACTACGATGGTGCACACTAGCGGGGCGAGATCGGCCAGATCACGTGAGCGGCTGACAGACTGGTTGTCATGGTCAAATCGGAAGCTGACGAAATCAGACCGTCATCACCGCACGAGTTGCTATGTCGCGGACATGGTCCTACCTACAGTCAGACAGTGATGGCGGTTGCCAGAGTCGAATCTGTTTAGACAGGAGTTGTGACTCACCTCAGTGATAGCGGCGAGGTAAGCGCATGTGACCTATAAAAGTAGCCATGTTCTGTGCTTAATATACGTCGGCCTAGCACGCTCAGCGTTTTGTTTTCCCCGGCTGGTTGGTAGCGCAGAGAGAGAGAGAGAGAGAGAGAGAGACAAAAGGGCAGCGTTACAACAGTGGCGGCGAGAGTTCAATCGAACCCAAAATGGCAGTCAGCTTTAAGCAATTGCAGGCACTTTTGCAGGAGCAGCAGACGCAGTTCGAAAAGTCACAGAGGCAGTTGATGGCAGTGCCATCACAAAAATTAAACATTCATGTAGAATGGGAACTGGAAGTGAAGCTGACATCGCAAGAAATTCTTTCAGAATGTCAGAAGATGCTCAAATTGACTCCTACTGCAAATGTGGTCGTAAATTCAGAAGCTATGGAGGAGCAAAACTTCTGCCACACTGCCACTTCAGAATCAGATGTGCCCATCAAACTTAAAGATGCGACGATAGAAATCAATGGCAGTCAGATTACACAGGTGCATAGACGCCATGAAGCAATGCTCCAACCTGGTCCAGAATGCTGCAGAATCACCAGTGCTGCCCCGAACCTTAAGCCAGTCACTAAACCAGTATTCAGAGCAAAACGCCTTGTGCCAATCAGGAAAGAAAAGCATTGCAGTTGTCATACTGGGAAAAGTCGGACAGACAGAGTGTGTCATTGCAGAATTGGTGACAGGGGGTACCCGCGAGAGTTCCGAGGACCGAAGAGGTGGTCAAGAGGAAGGGTGATACGCAGAAATGGTGGAGTCAATTACGAACTAACGGTTAGAAACAAGAAATGGATCAGGCACGCAGAACAGCGGAGACCGAACCACGGAAAAACACAAGGGCCCGCAGCCAACATATATCTAAGAGCGGCCAGAAGGAAAAGAAAACTACCAGGACAACGGATTGTTGTCAAAACAAAGAAAGCTGAACTGACGCAAGTACGCATGGTGGGGAAGCGGTTTCAATTCGGAGGAGGAGGTGTCACGGAGGCGAAACAGCTAACTACGATGGTGCACACTAGCGGGGCGAGATCGGCCAGATCACGTGAGCGGCTGACAGACTGGTTGTCATGGTCAGACCGGAAGCTGACGAAATCAGACCGTCATCACCGCACGAGTTGCTATGTCGCGGACATGGTCCTACCTACAGTCAGACAGTGATGGCGGTTGCCAGAGTCGAATCTGTTTAGACAGGAGTTGTGACTCACCTCAGTGATAGCGGCGAGGTAAGCGCATGTGACCTATAAAAGTAGCCATGTTCTGTGCTTAATATACGTCGGCCTAGCACGCTCAGCGTTTTGTTTTCCCCGGCTGGTTGGTAGCGCAGAGAGAGAGAGAGAGAGAGACAAAAGGGCAGCCTTACAACATATAGTCTTTTTAAAGTTCACAAGTAGGGTGCCCCAGTGCGTCCAATCTGGGACCTGGTGGGTTCCCCCAGCATTTGTTGATCCAGTGGATGGTGGAAAGCTGCAACCGCTACGGAATGTGGTTTGCAATTACTGTGTGTGTGATACTGTTCAATTCATTGCGAGGATAGCCAAACTTAACCTTGTCAACAAAAAATAATATTTCATGCCCACTCGCTGTCTACAAACATTCCACTGCTCAAAACTGTGAAGTACATGTGCGAACTTGCTCGGCAACTGCCAATTTACGCAACTTTTTCGGAAGCTTTACTCAGAGGCATTACTTCGGTGTACGCCGAACGTTCAGTTCACCTTCATTCGTGAAATATACCGTCAGTTTGATGCAGTGGTCATGGGATCTCCTTTGGGGTCCCTGCTAGCCGATATCCCAATAGCAGAATTGACACGTGGCCCACTTAGAACACACATAGGCTAAACCGAAATGTGCGTACGTTATATTGATGACAATTTCATACTTTGCAAATTGAAAAGGCATGCGGCGCGGTTATTGAACGCTTTTATTGATGCCCATAAGAATCCACTTCACTTACGAGCACGAGTTTGGCAGCCGACTACCTTTTCTAGATGCAGACATTATCCGTAACTCTGACGGATCTCAACCGAACAAATGCGCAGAAAACGTACATGGACTGGGAAATACGGCGCATTGCCGTTAAACTGCAAAAGAAGTTTGGTCCGATCTCTCGCCTTCAGAGCACGCAGTATTTTTACACTGGATACCGTCAACGAAGAATTGCATAGAATCATCGACGTCCTAAGCTAATGGGCTGTCCAGACGAATCTATCTTGTAGCCTCTGAAGAAACACAAACGCAAGCCACCTTGCTTCTAAAGAAGAGCTGTACATGCACTTGCCATTTAAGAGCGATTCTGCCGGGAAATACTCTATCCCAACGCTTGAAAAATACTGTTGAGAAGACCTATTTCGCGGCCCGATTGATTATTGTGTACTACAACAAGCCAGAGCTTGTAAAACTCTTGGAGGCTCGACTGTCCTCGTTGACTTGTTCTACGCTCGTTTATCAGTACTCTTGTTCCTGTGGTGCACGATACATGGGTCGCACTACGAGGCATGTGTCTCAGTGGATTCGCGCGCACATCCCGGCTTGGTCTTACAAAAGCGGCCTGAGATCCTCAAACAGCTCTATTATGTCACAACTTGATTTTGTCCATACAGCCTTTGGAGATGACTACAATGTCATGTATTCATTGCCTGAACGCTTCACGCAAGTCTTCCGCAAACAGCTCCTGTCCATTGCCGAGGCTTTATATACATCCGCCATTTGAAGCCTGAATTATGTGTGCAAAAGCGGTACATACGTCCGTTACTACTACACAGGCTAACGGACAATGTTACCCAACTGTTTGGTTGTCACCTGAGCTACTTACGTTGTAGTGTCGAACTTTTACGTGATACTTTTCTCTTTTTTAATTTTCCTACCATCTAGCCTAGCCCTGAGCTATTGATTCGACTGTTCAAACAACCCAGAAATCAAGCTCCCATGCTGTTTTGACGCTAACGACACTTAGTCTCTGTCATATAAGCGTTTGGGTCTGATGAGAGTTTGTTCGAAAAGCATTATTAACCCAACACTCATTTTGTCTTGATGTTCTCACTAAACTTTTAATATTAGTTTTGTTTTAGATGAGCATTAACCGTAGATGTCAAATTTGTTGGTGCACTGTAATCTTGTAACCCTTTTACGGAGACAACCCACAATACCAAGGGAATGAAGCGTGAAAGTTATTGCTGCATGTTGGCGGATCTGACCCAGAGTACGGATGTTAAAATCACCAATGTAAAATGGGACTGGTGGTTTGAGGGACAAGTTACTTGCATGGATTGCCCCATTTACGGCATTGGTGGTAGTCTCCTGCTCAATCGACTGGGAGGCTGAGGGTTGCGCAAGGAGAGGAAAGCAAGTAGTATTGGCAATGGGTTGGTGATTGTAGATCATACTGTCTGGTTCTCTATATGCCATTAATCAACTGCACTTTCAATGTTCTAAGTAATGACCTTATCGTTCAGTTAGAGGAATACCTTAGAAGTTTTGAATACTATTCTTATTAAGTAACTCTCTACTTCACGATCTTTCTACCTGGACGCTTTGCCATTCCTTGGCTGTAACGCCATTCTTCATTTATGGATTAAGCGAGTTGAAATAGCCTGGTGCCCTGACCACCCGGCTCATTATACAAATGATTTCTCCTACCACTTTGTGGTCATTTTCCTTGTCGAGGTACACGGTGCTAATAACTAGTACTCCTTATGACTCATTATTACTGAGCTGTCTGTGCCTCTAGTGACGTTTCCCGAAGCTATCTTTGACTCCTTTTGGCTCAGTGCCCACGCTTTCACTGTAAGGTTTCTGCTAGCTTGACGCAAATCAACTCTTACTCGTCGCATTCCGGGTGCTTCGTTGGAGTTTTCTTCCTAGTTCTACTTCATGAGTTTCTGCGCCCCTGACGAATCTCCAAATCGGATTCTTTTACACGTTTTATTGTTGCTTTTCTTATTTTCTAACACGACCATTACCTCACTTTTTTTGCTGTACGGTTTTTGGTCTTGATCTGTTTTGACCAGGTCACTACCGCCATTGGCAGTATTTTGTGAGCGACTATAACAACATTTAAAATGCTGGTGACCTTCGCCACATATACAATGTTTTTATCACGATATGGCCCTACTGAACTTTTGTCTAAATACGTTTCTTTTTATGTGTGAAGATGATTGTCATTTGCCTCTTAAATTTCATTACATTGCCAGGTAGCTCTCTTATTTGTGCAAGTGAAGGGTTTTATCAACTCGCTGAGGCAAAAACACGTGCAGTGGAGGATACACATTCGCGCTTCGTCCGACCAATTGCAGACACATTGAATCAGGACATGAAGGAAATAACTGTGAGTCCTGTGTGTGTGTGTTGCTTTTGTTGCGCACTGTTATGTGCACAATTGATATTGACCTACTTCTGCTGTTTCGAAGGATCCATCACAGCAAGACTGCACACGACGCAATGGTTTGAGCTGCTCCGCAGTCCACAGAATCATTTTGGTAGGCACTTTCAGAGTCACTCATGCTGGACTAGTCAATGGTTAGATGCTACTTTTGCCCAATCTGGACGCATACCCTCACCAGAAAGGCGTTGTCTTTCTCCCATTAAAACTTAGTCATGAGGGACGACAGTTCACGCGTTATGGGCTTAGCTCCGCTGGCAAGGTAGACAGGGGCCACTGGCTTTCTCAAATGGTAGGGTGAACCCAACTCCTGCTCGACGATTTGCTACCGCCGTCCTCGAACCATGCAGCTTGTGATCAGTATGGTTCCGGCCCACCTGTTGCACATACATCTTGTTCATCGGCCCAAAGTTGTGCGTATCTTCCAGCTTTGCATATGATTCTCCTAGACTACAACCTTAAAAGACTCTGAAACCTTATTCACTGTTATTTTTGTAACATTTTGATTAGAGTCTTGTGGCGGATGCTCTCAAACAAAGCCTCTTTCTCGTAATGGACTTCTGGGAAGTGTTACATCCCCACGAAATTCGTTACGATTGTCCCTTCTTTCTTATTTCCATGCTTTGAAAAGCCTCTACTTTGATTAACGGTAATGCGATCCTTCTGGCTTGTCGTTAAATGTTAATAATATGCGACGAGACTGGACCTTAACGTGGTGCGATTGTTTGCGTGCCTCAGAAATCCACTGGGCTATGCTTGATGGTGCTTTTGCACCTTCAGATCCACTCATAACACATTGGTCAATGGTTAGCGGCCTGATAGACTGTCCCCTGGCTAGCCCTCCAGGTTGGGGGTTGGAGTGTGTGTGGGCTCCTTACTCCATAAAACGGACTCACTGTCAGGTTTTTTAACCAAAGTCTTTGTTTGATAATCCTGATCGCTCTCCTGCCTAGGCCTGAGCAATCGGAGAGTATTTTGCCCACGCAATACAATGAATTTCTCCAGAATTTCTCATGATACTCTGGCCGTCGTACAGGATCATCACTGGCGCATTACTGCTACATGAAGCAGGTGAATAGGGCTGAGGATGCTACTGTTCCAACTTCACTTTTCTCCCCCTTGTTTTCGACCCCCCAATTCATGGCCCTCTCATGTTGCCTTGATAAACGTTTATCGTCTGGCCTCAACTCCCACACAATCGCAGGACATCGCCTCGATCCAGTTGGCAAATCCATGTCCGGGCAAACAGACAATGTCAGTTCATAAATTTCTATTTAGAGCCCTAGATCTCTGCAGACTGGCATGCCTCAACGTACATACTTTGTTGCAAATTTTTCAACAGGCATCACTTGATCGGAAACTAGAGATCTTGTCGTTCCACATCTGTTTACCAGCAACCCGCCCGCAAGATTCGAGTACTGTGACTATCCTGCGATCGCCATCATGCGACGCTTGCGATATTTTCTCATTGCGCTTCCAATGCAGGTCAAACCGGTGTGGGCATTGCTCTGAGCCCCCGGGTTGAAGCTGCCCTGATCGATTGGATCCCAATGAACAGCCGGATATGCGCCGTTAGATTGGCTAGCTCATTTAAGGCTTCAAAGTCGAGGGGGGACAAACGGTGTCCGTTTGTCATTGCTGCCTATGCTCCCACTAAATGTAGCGCTGACGGTGAAAGATTACTTCTATCATCATTTGAACGCGCTCCTACGTTACAGAAAAGTACAGATATAGTAGTGCTTGCTGGTGATTTGAACGCTCAACTTGGAAAACTCTCCACTAATTAGGTTTTTTTGGCCGGCCAAATCGGTGTCGGCTCACGTAATTCTAACGGGGGGGGGGCGGTTGCTACACCTGTGCGAAGATGTTCCTCTCTTTCTCGCGAGCGCTAACTTCCGACACATCACCCACAGAGGAGTGACATGTCGCCCACCAGTCTCGGACCGGACATTAACTTAAATCGACCACATCGCGACCGGTTACCGTTAGTGAGGCTACGTCCGAAATTGTCGCTTGATTTGGAGCACCAGCTTGGACTCCGACCATGCACTTGTATGTGCTGATCTGCAGGTGCGTTTCGGCGGACGTCCGCAACGGTCCTGTGAGTGCATAGATACTTGTCAACTGGCGAAGCAAGCTATTCGGAATGCCTATCAATGTACGCTGGCATCCGGGCAGAGTAAACACCTACTGAACACATTAGGAGATTACCGGTTGCGTATCCACCAGACGTTGTTATCAGCAAGCATATCTTCATGTAACAAGTCCAAATTTCAAGCTAGATCTTGAGTCTTTACACAGTCTCTGGAATTTATGGATGTTCGCAAACACGTTCCGGATGAAAGCGGGCACAGCGAGACTCACAAGGATTTAAGGGTGGAACTCTATGCTAGCCTGAAGAGAGACCGCGAATCCTGTTGGTCTCATCGTGCCTTGGAGATGTAACAGATGTTGCCCTTTGTAACCATTGAAACTTATTCCGTCTGATCCGCGAAACGGGAAGCAGGAGACTTGGTGTTAGCTAGACCACATGCGATGAGAGTGTACAGGCGATCCACGCATTGTAAAATTGTTTGGAGCGTTGGGCCGAACACTTTTAGGATCAGTTTAATCAGTCAAAATTGCCAGCTTCTCCATCGGCTAATGAGCGTCCCTTTGGATCCGCCCTCACGTGTAGAAGTCGAACGTGCGATGAGACTATTGAGATTGAATAAGACCACGAGAACAGATAGACTCTGTCCAGCGCTCTTCAAATTCGGGTGATATGCTCCTTTGTACGATTTGCGCTAGTTTTTGATGAATCTATGGGAGCAAGAGACTGTCCTAGCAGATTGGAGGCGCTCCGTCATATTCCCAAATTTCAAGGAAGGCTCCGTGCAGAATGCGGCTGTCCTAGAGGAGTCCGCCTACTTTCAATAGCCTCTAAGCTACTTGCTTCTGTCGTCCATGGACTGACTGGCACTCGTGAAAGCCAGATTTATGGGGAGCATATCGGGTTTCGTTGAAGTCGCAGCTGTATTGATCACACCTTCACATTACGTCATTGGTTGGAGCATCGCCATATTTATTGGCGACCCACCGTAGTCTTGTTCCAAGACATCAAAGAGGCCTTCGATTCGGTTGAGCGATGTGCCCATTGGGCTTGTCTACTGTGGTAAGGTGTGTCCGGGAAATATCTAAATGTCATAATAGCGTTGTATGCGCACAGTCTGGATAGAGTGAAGGTTTAAGGCAAGCTATCGCTGCCCTTCAATATCTCCAACGGTGAGAGACAAGGTTGTCCACTGTCACCTTTCCTCTTCAACTTCGCGTTTGACGAAGTCATGGAAACGGCGTTTGTCGAGCACGACTTACGTGTCGATTTGCTCCTAGGTGAACGATTTCTTGATGTAGAGTATGCCGACGACATTGCGCTCATCTGTGACAGCTCCCGAAGGTGCCAAGTTGCACTAGATAAGTTAGTTCTGGTTGTCAGTCGTTTCGGTCTGTGCTTTGCACAGTCGAAATGGAAAGTCCTTCTCCAAGCTTGCCAGGGATTCACTCCTGCGGTGGTCCTTGGTGGTGACCAGCTTGAAGTCGTCGAGCGATTTAAGTATTTGGGCAGGTATATTCGCGCTCTCGGGATTTTAAATGAGGTCGCGAACCGTATAGCGAAGGCTCAAAGCGCTTTTGCCAATCTCCGCCACCTGCGGCGTCGGCGTGACATAACTCTCACATTGAAGGGCAGATTGTACAATGCACTCGTCCATTCAACGCTCCTGTACTGTTGCGAAACCTGGCCCATCATGTGCACCGACTTAACGAGGCTTGTTACATTCGACCACAGCTACCTTTGCAGCATAGCTCATGTCTGGTGGGAACACCGGGTGATCAATGATCGTTTACAACGCCGCGTATTTGGTGTCGGAAGAGCGGGTGAACCTTTCAGCATCATTATATCACGCATCAGGTTCCGTTTTCTGCGCCACGTGTTACGCATGCCATCACACTGACTCCCGCATCGTGCGATTTTCACGCGCCCGGGGTCTGGATTCAGAAATGGATGGGAGGCCAAGCAATTCTGTATGTGCTTCACATGCTGAGGCATCGCTGGGAAACAGGCCATGGCGCGTGTCTGGATGAAGCGCCTCAGTTATCCACATGGAAAAACTGTTGGTAGAGGTCGACCGAAAAGTTTACTCTCAATGGTCCATAGCACTTCGTTTATTTTTCAAATGGAATTACCGATATTAGCCATCACTGACATTGACTCAGTTGACATATTCGCAACACCAGTTTTGCTTTTGCTTTTAACCTGTTTCCTTTATCAGCGCTACTGTTCCACCCGATCATCCACAGCTCTCATTCATTTCACGAACTTGATTTTTGTTTTTGCCCTTCCCCGGCACCCTCTTGCAATGCCTTCACGGGATAATCCGAATCGTTTTGCTCCACCACGTTTCGTTTCATGGATCGTAGTTTCTCAGTCTATCACGTTTTTATATGTCCGTATACACAACCCTCTTCCTTCTCTCCTATTTAGCTTTTGTAATTGCTTGTTTTTGTTTGTTATGCTTTCCTCGTTTGCATTTTGGGACCACTTTGGTTTGTACATGTCCCTTTATGTCTCAATTAAACTCCCAAAGCAGCCTTTATCCACAGTTCACTCCGCACTCCTTCACACCGGCTGATTGCTGCGTTCCCATCACCGCGTGTTGGTTTTTGGTTGTGCACCTTTTGCTAACAAGTTTGCCAATCGTAGATACATTCTTGATCAGAATTCACGTATTCCTCCAATGTTCAGTGGTATCCCCATGTTGCCTCTTGTTTCATCCGATTATTTCTGGTTGCCATACATTTAAGGCGGTAATTCAGTTCGTGTGATGTGCTGTCCGTTCACTTTTTATTCATGGTGTGTATCGTCCCAGGTTCGTGTATCTTCCCGCATTCATAGTTAGCTCTCGCAACGCCCGGAGTTATGGAGTGATAAATCCTACTTAGTGGATTTCAGTTGAGTTGTTAACAAAGTGACTGTCTTTTATATCAGACGATCAAATAAAATTAAACTCGTTTGCTATAAGATAGTGCTTATTACATAGAATACATATCCTGCATCCACCTACAGTATGACACTGTAATTCTTTTAACCCTACAGCACTTACGCAAAAAAGCAGAACACCGCCGTCTGGCCTATGAAGTCGAGCGTTCCAAGGTGCAAAAAGGTAATCACGCATGCCTCTATCTTGGATTGGGTCAATCCAGCGAATTCATCTTTCTTTGTTCTGGCTTTCTGCGTTCCATCACGGTTTTGTCATTAGCTGTCCATTCCCTCTGGTTGCTACCTTCTCTACCTAGGGCACATCACCTATCACGCACAACCATGCGGCTTAGATTTGGCTTCATTCGTTCACATTTCACCCATTCTGACTTGCAGCATGTATGCTGCGTGCGCTTCACTGAAGAAATAAGGCAAAAACCTAGCGTTTCTCGAAATCTGTTATCAATACACCGATCTGTCGTACACCCATCACATAGACTTACGTCGATTTTGTTCCATTTCAAGGTCTTATCCTTGTTTTTGCCATCACACTATTCGTTTACTTTCATTGGTTCAACTTCTTACTTTTTGTTCCTACTCGGACTACTTAGCTTTCCCTTGGCTACTATTCACCCGTTTGCTCACCGGCTTACACGCATCCTGAGCTATCGGACCTCCCCAAGTGATTATTGATAGCCCCTTAGTTTGTGGTACTTGACTGAAAGAAAGACCTCAGTACATTGACATACCGCACCACGCGAACACCAACACCAATCGAGCGAGGGCTAGATATACCGCGAGGTCTCCCGCATCTACGTAGATTCCAACCGGTTACGTCCGGATTACCAAGCAAGCGCGTAATCTTTTTGACCACTCACCTGTTTTTTCGGCTACAATCAAACCACTTCTTTCTGATTTTTGCTAGATCGCTGTTTGCTAAACACTTGTAAACTATATCACTATATGTCATCATGCAGTTGTGCTCTGTAGTGCCAAATCTACTGACTTGTCTCTGCTAAACAACTCATCACACCATCCCTTCTCAACGGTGTCTACTCTGCTGCAGCCAACTCCTATTTCTTTTTCTTAACTCTCATCTCGTCCTTCGTCTATTTCTGGGTATCATCAACAACAGCAGTACATCAGCCATTTGAACTGTTGCTTCTCTGCCATACAACCATGATGGCCTATGGAATAAAGAATAAGAATAAGAATAAAATCTTAATGCCCTAAGCAAACATTCAGGGTCAAGGCGCCTACACCTTGTGTAGACAACATACCGTCACAAACAGCTGGCTATCGTGCAAAGATAAGGCGGCATCGGCGAGACAGCTTCCTTGTGGCTTTCACTGTCACGCGTCATAATCAGCCATTACCCCGCAGATAACTCAGCACCAAACACACTTTAAACAGGCAATCCGATTAGGAGACGACAGCAGACACGCCACTGGTGCTGACTGCGAACCATGTCCTGTAACGTCTGGAGCCAAGCACAAGGCGGGTCATGTGGACTCCAGCTCGGAAGGCGAGACGGACGCATGGGTATAAGTTTTATTCACGCTTCTCCAGTTATTGGAAAATGTAGTCTTCTTTTCCAGATTAACCTACGGCTTCTACCGCAAGGTCTCCTTTTACAGATGACTTTGTAGGGCCTAGTCAATAGCGTTCTGAGGTTGTGCTAGGATCTTAACCGGTTAGCGACGTACTTTTGCCGCGACTCAACAGCTTTTGAGTCACTCTGGATTTGCTGTCTTGGATCACAGGTCGAAATGGATCTGCGTCGGTAAATGTTTCTTTTTCGAGTACTGTTTGAAAGATCGAACTGACCCGGGGCTTCTCCCAAGTAAATTCTGGCTCTAATTGGGGTTGTGTATCGCAGTCGATTGCAACATGTATACTCTCAACCCAGCACTGCCCTTCAGATTGTTTTGACATTTCCGTGACTACCCCGTGCTCGGTACTACGAGATTCACCATTGATAACCGAGGTATTAGTCTCAGACATCGCCACCAAACTATGTGGTTTCCGCTTCGCTTTAAATTGGTTTTCGGTGCTTGAGGTCGTGACCGTGCGTCTCCCCTCCTGGGCTAGTCTGTGTCTGACTTCTGATGGTCGCATGAAACTGTTCACTCACCATTTCGTCCTACTTTCTTCTCCACTTCTTTGTCTATGTCGAAGCACAGTTTGGCCTGCTGTTCGGCAACCAATCCAAGGATTCGTAACTTGTCATTTAGTCCGTTCAACAACCATGGGTATGTGATTCGGTATATAGTTTTCATCGGATCACCACGTGATCCCCAATTCATTGTTCGCCTCCATATACCGACTAAATTCCACTTTGGACTCCTCTCGTTGCACTGACAACTAATAGTGGCGATGAGTTTGCTTTAGTGCTACATTAGGGTCAAGTGACCAGCCAGAGGTCAAGTGGTTCAGACGTCCGTAACCTACAACTCAGTATATCTAGCCTAGGATGCTGCGCGTGACCGTGGACCTCGGTAGTCACGTTGCAGCGAAGTACCGGTGAGCTGTCGATGCTTCTTCTTACCAAACTGGTCACACTTAACCCATTGGTCTTACCAAAGACAGCTTCACTTACTGCGTGTAGGTTAACGGCGATAGGACATTGTCTCGCACATATCACCATTATTTCACTCACGTGGGTGACTGAACCCTGAATATTTATTTGACATATTTTGGTTTTACACTGGATCTCTGGCTACAGCGGTCAACCCTGTCGTATGCGATGTTACCTACCTTACATGACAATGGAGAATGAGTCGCGCTCTATCGCCTCCGCTGTCACCCATCGCTTGGTGGCATAAGCTTCTGGCGAGTAGTCATTGGTGGAGCCGATAGATGTGCACTGCTGAGGAGACTCAACAGGCCGAAACTGCTGTTTAATGCTTTCTCGGACGCATGGGAGTCTGTCCAACCTGGAGCTATTGCTGCTGCAGTGCACTATATCCACACCTTATTACAGGTTCTGCAAATCCCACACTGTCGATGGCTAATAAACTTGTCTCGGAGATTCCCCAACTCCTCCCTTCGAGTTCGATGCACAACTGCCGATTTGTTCTATCACATGAAATCTACACATCCGCCATTGTGCGTTTCCATGCATATGTTAAATAGACCCTAACTTTACTCTTCACATGTTTATCACAATATGTGATCTAGTACACCAAGCCTTCTATTGGGATGAGCTCGATCTGGAAATCGCAGTCGTTTTATTTCTGTAGACACACACTACTATCTCCGATGGTTGGTGAATTTCATTTTCTATGCAACTCTGCTAACGTTGCGATTGATCTCCGGTGACTGCACGGGGCATGTAAGTTCTTATCTTACTCCTTCGATGTGGATCACGACGTCTATTCTACTCCATCCCAGCATGTGTCCATGATGGTAACGCAATGTGATACGGTTTGCCCAAATCATGAACCGTCTCTATGCGGGACAACCTGCAATCGGGTTGAAATTGAATGCACCTGTCAAGAGATGTTGTAATCAGGTGACACACACCACTGCATTGTTCAGGTTCTTAATTCCCCGCTCACGTGATGTTACTCTAAACTACTTCAACTTCTAGTCAACCTATTCCTGATACTCACATGCATGATCCTCGGTTAGCTGCCTTCGGTTAGTTCATTTCTGGCTGTGTAAACAAAATTCTTTCCTGTTACATTTCTCCGTAAATTTTAATTATTCCACAGAAATTACAATATCGTTTAGTTTCATTTCTGTTTCTGAATTTTTCGACTCACAATACCTGTTATATCTTCGTTTGGTTTCGGATATTTAACACTTAATTTGTGCGCCACGACACTGCCATTTACTCTCAGATTATTCATAATACCGAAACAATCACCCTGCTGTGCCTGTTCCAAGGTTGCCGAGAATCGTGGGAATGTAATCACATGTGATGTGTATCACGTCAGATTCCACATTCCATGCATGGGGCTATTGATTGGGCATTTCCGCGAATTTCAACATGATTTCGTTCAAATTTTCTGTGCGAATTGCAGGGACCACATATACCGGAGAAAGTGGGAAAGAATCGCAAGCCCCCTTGCAGGGTGAATTTTTCCGTTGCGATCAGCTTTAAATGTTGGTCCAACAGGCTAGCCCGAAGCTTGTCTAGGTTCTAAAGAAGCTTTCCGATCCGTCCTGCGCAAACTCACCAGTACGAAGTCCCACCTGACACGAATCTTTTACCTGGGTTGTTTCTTATGAACACTGATGCCCCGATGTTTGAAAGCCCAGGTAGAGGAGACACGTGGAAAGTGCAAGGAAAGAAAATGAAGGTGGATGGAATGAGTTTAAGCCGGTGTAAATCAACGACAAGGTCGGAAAAACCCTCGCTCTACAGAAGCAACTTTAGCCGACCAGACGTTTTAGCCTCACTCCAGTGATCCAACTCCTCAGATGCGCTACGATCATGACGTCGAGTTTCTACAGAGCCTAATTGATAGGCTCCTCGATGTGAAAAAAATGAAATGAAATGTGTCAGCTTATACGCCGTAACGGCGCTTCGCTGCCGCGCGACCACCACCAGTCGCGCGCGGGCTGAGTATACCGCGAGGACGCCCACCCCTACGCGGAGTCGAACCGGTGACCTTATGGTTGCAAAGCAAACGTGCAGACCACTCGGCCACCGGCCGACGATGTGGGTGAGAACGGGTTGAAAGTGCGGCAATGTACCCGTCTTGGGACGAATGGTGATTACCAAGTCGACCAGTGCGAATCACCTTCGTGAACGAAGCTAGCCCGATGCTGATCTTGTCCCACTTAAAATGACCGAAAGTTTTGAAGATTCATCTTCACCAAGATCTTGGGTCTGCAGATCGAGAACGACTCAGGTCTTTCATCGTTGAACTGAAAAGACCAAATGGCGATGGGGAAACAAATCTTCCTATACTAACTTTTCGGGTCATTTCCAAGAGTCCACGATAAACGGGTTGCTTGCACTTCAAATGCGCCCATTAGTTCCTGCTCCAGCTTTCATGTAGAATTTACAAATGATTGCAGTCCTACGAACAGGCGCGATGAACTCTGTCGTTTTGTTGCACTTGCGCGGCCGAACGCAGTGGGACTCGCAGTGACATGGTTGATTTCTCGTGTGATTGTCCATGAAATCGAGCCCATTGGCTGCTCATGCTTCCGCTGTGATAGTTTCTCCAC